TCGCCTTTTCTTCCATTGTTTCGCCAGGTTGTGTTCCTGTTGGTGTTGTTGTCACTGCTGCTACTGCTAGTGAACTCATCTTTCCTTGCTTCCTTGAGGGCTTCAGGTGAGAATACTGGGTCGGTTGCCAAGGCTGCTTCTTGTGTTACAAATTTGACAACGTCATGAAACGTAGAAAGTCTTTCTTCTAATTTTAACATCTTATTGGCAAAACGGCACCATTTCACTCCCATGTTACTTGGCAGCTTTGCAGTTATCCTTCTAAGAGTGTCTTCGGAGTTAAGGCCTTCCATGTACTTTAACGTATTCATGGCTTGTTCGCAAAGCACCAGGAAATCAGCAAACTGTTGCAAACGCGCGCCGTCCCCTTCTTTCATAGGAGGCCAAGCATTCAGCTTATCCTTGTAGGCCTGTGCAACGCGATAAGGATGGCCGAATCTTTCCTTTAATACCTTTCTAGCCTTATCATAGGAATCTGGAGAGTCGAGGTTAATGAAGCCTTGAATTGATTCCTTAGCGTCCCCAGATGTGAACTGGTTTAAATAATAGAGCCTCTGCTTTGGATCGCTCACTCGGCACTCTATTAAACTTTCGAAGGCACTGATGAATGCTGCGTAATCGAAGTGGTTTCCAGAGAAAACCGGGGGCTGCTGTGCTGGGAGCAGACTCATTCTTTGTTGTTCGGCGACAAGCTTCACCACCGAGGTTAACTCGTCTGTTCTGTCGGAAATCTCCGGCTTTGATTCACGTGATGGTGATTCACCAGCTTGCGTACCTTGGCGTACAACTGGGCCATTTGGGGGTTCAAAGGGCGGAGCCTTTGGGTTTAAGATCCCGTTATCTTGCAAAGGTTTCGTTTCACTAGGTTCCTCTTTGGGCGATAGCTTGGGTTTGACGTCTAGAATTGGTGTTTCATGCTTCGGGATCTGGGGGAAATCCTCCTGCCTTTCTTCTTCTTCGATTTTGCGCATGGTTTCTTCCTCAGCCTTTGCCTTAGCTAACTCCTTTTGCATTACTAGCCTCTTATACTCTGCTTCCCTTTCTAGAAAGTCCATTTCTAATTGAAGACACGCTGCCTTGGCCGCTGCCTTTGCTCTTCTAGATCTTACTGAAGAGGAGGAAGAACGCTTGGATAATTTTGACGAAACCAGAGACATTTTATCGCTTGTTTGTCTTTCCACACTAAGCAAGGCTTCGTTAATTCTAATGCGACATTGGAAATGTTCGCGATCCCGAATATCAAACCACTCGTACGCTTCATCTGCTTCCTTAGTGTCATGCAATTCCTTGTAATAATTGTGATGAGCGTCATTCATCCTATCCCTACACAAGTCTAGACTGTCACGCTCTTGCTCTAGGACTCTTGCGTCTAATTCTTTTATTGATTCGAGTAAAGAGTTTACCTTCGTTATCTGCCTCCTCAGAGCGACTCCTGTGGCCTTTCGCTCCTCAACAAGCCTTTCCAGGCGAAGTGACTCGCCCTTTTCGGTAGGGATTCTTTCTCTTCTGTCCCTTTCAGTCGTTTCAACGCCGACTTGATGGTCTTCGTTCTGTTCGCTCGTGACTTCTTCCATCGTAGGATTTGCCTGCGCCATGGCTATTGTATGCAGTCGACAAACTCCCGCTAATATCTTGAATTCCTCCAATCTTCACTATAGCGACGCTTGATCGCCGCTAGCTGGACCGTACGAATCTCACTGATCGACACAACAAATATCGCCCCAATTTCTTTCATGGAACGCCTCCTTTATTAAATGTCGTATTTGACCGTGAAGCTAAAATAATTGATTCACAAAATTAGGGACAAGAAATTAGCTATAGATTCACTCGAGGTAAATTAAACTTACATTGTTGCCGGATCTGGCGAGAGTTGACCCAAAAAGGACCTTTCCTTCCTTCGATAAAAACGACAGACAATTTCTTTCTATTAAACCACGAGTGCTTGCGAAATCGATCGAATTATTGAATTGCACAATAGATCCGTTCTGTTTGGAAATGCGATACCACTTACGGAACGCGTGACGAGGCACCTAGTGTGACTTTTACAGATTATTAATTAAACGATTACTAAATCAAAACAAGGGATAAACCCGTGCCTTAGGGGCACTTACACTCAATACATAATATTAGAGGAAAAACGGCATTAGAAGCATTACACACCACACCAGTGTAAAACAAGAATTCATTCACCATATGTAAACTAATAGCTATATATAATCAGAAGAAATCAGGCTTTTGGAATTTGCATTTTATGCAAATCGCGCTTCCATTTAAAATTTCTGGATGCGAGCTTTAAATCTGCCTCGACTTGTCATTACTGCTCAGTTCCTTCTTCTGCTGAGCAACAGTCTTATGACAGTCTAAACGATAGCTTTTTTGTACCAGCGAAATCTGATGCTACCCTAAAGTTGCGTGGTCTTAAGTTCATCCATCAAAACATTAGAAGCTTGAGGAAGAAGTTAAATGAACTACGTGTTTTCTTAACGCAAAGTCCGCGAATTCACATCATAGCTTTAATTGAGACATGGATTGATGAATCTGTTTGGATTGAGATCTTGCTGCCCAAATCTAAAGGCTTACTGTTTGGAACATTCTATCGGCCACCATCAGAGTCGGTTAGCCAGCCTGACCTAGATTATATGGATCGCTTTTACAACAGCTTGGACTATGCTGCGGCTGAGGGAAAAGAAATTATTGTTGCCTAAGAAACCAAGCCTCGAAACCAAAAAGTTGAAAGAGATTTTTAAATCCCTTGGTTTAACACAGTTGATTAATGATCCAACACGGACTACGTCAACCACCACTACACTTATTGATTTGTTTGCCACCACAAATCCACGAAACACTTTTCAAGCCGTAGTTGCTGAATCCTGTCTGAGCGATCATGATATGCTAATTTCAATTCGAAAGATAAACAACCTCAAGGAACAACCTCGTGTGATAAAGTGCAGGAATTATGCTAAATACGATCCAAAAATTTTCTGCAGTGATTTGAAGAAAATCCCGTAGGATACTGTGTTGAGTTCGACTAACGTCGATGAGCTTGGTCTTTGTGGAAGTACAACTTTACGGCTGAGTGTTACAAACACGCTCCACTAATCGACAAAAAAGTAAGAGGTCGTTATTGTCCATGGCTTACGTTGGAAATCAAACAGATAATGAGAGCTTGGGATGCCAGTTTCAAGAAATACCGTAAATCATAATTAGACACCGATTTGGCTACATATCGACTACTCCGGAATAAAGTCAGTGCAAGGCTTAAACTTTCTGAAGAAAACTATAGTAGATCATTACTCGAAGAGAATAGCGGCGGTTCTGGATCTTTCTGGAGATCTGTAAAGAAAATATTGCCGGACGCAAAACTGAAATCTATCCCGACATGTATCAAGGCTGAGGTCAAGATTATTACTGATAAACAAAGCATTTCAGAATTGTTCAACTCTTTCTTTACATCTGTCGTGAACAAGTTATTTGAATCGTTCAGGTATGCCAGACCAGTTTTTAAATCTACAACTGAGGAGTTGTTTACAAAGAAACACTTTGAGTTCACAGCAGTGGGTAAGCCGTTTGTGCTTAAGCAACTTAAATGCCTAAAACTCAAGAATGCCACTGGTATAGACGGTCTACCAGCTCGACTTTTTAAGGACAGCGCAGTTGTGATAGCTGACCGTGTAACACATTTGGTAAATCTCTCCATTAAATCTGGTACGGTCCCGTCTGAATGGAAACAGGCAAAGGTTGTACCCTTGTTCAAATCTGGAAACAAAGATGATCTGGACAATTACAGACCTATATCAATTTTACCGATCCTGTCGAAAATTCTGGAGAAAGCTGTCTTCCATCAGCTACATAGCTACCGATCAAAAAACTCCCTCCTCTCGCCATATCAATCAGGTTTTCGAGCAAGTCATTCAACTCAGTTGGCCATTACCTTCCTTACTGTTTATTCTTTGCATAAACGATCTTCCTTTAGCCGTTGGTCTGTCTAGTGTTATGTTGTATGCCGACGACACTGTTATCTTTTCTGCTGCTTAGAGCATTGACCAACTACAGCTGAACTTAAGCCTTGATCTTAAATTGGCTGACAGCGAATGGTCTCTTCCTCAACCTAAAGAAAACTGAGTACGTTGTATTTGGAACTCGGCAGATGCTAATGAGATCTGAATCTCATAGTCCGCTCTGCATGGAAGGGAAGGAAGTTAACCAAGTAAAGTCGTTCAAGTATCTTGGAGTCTTACTTGATGAGTGTTTATCTTTCAACGATCACATAAATTATGTAAGGTCAAAAGTTGCCAGCAGACTTGGCCTCCTGTCACGATTACGAGGTTGTTTAACCACGGAAGCAGCAAATAAGATCTATTTGTCCACGGTGCTACCGATATTAAGCTATTGTGATACGTGCTTCCGCCCTTTGGGAAGCACTAACAGAAAGACTCTGGAACGCCTGCAACGACGAGCTGCGAGAATCGTATACGGTTTTAAACCTGACATAGCCACGGAATCAATACTTGAGAACCTACGCTGGCCGCCTCTTACAAGAACTATGGAAAAGCACTGTGCACTGTTAGTTAACAAGTGCTTAGTTGGAGAAGTTCCTTCATACTTTAAAGACTATTTCATGTTACGCAGCCAGAGCGACAACCAACATAGATCTTCATCTAGATGTCGCTAAAAAGTCTTTTTACTATCATGGTGCAATGATATTCAAAAGTCTTTCAATGAACATTAAGACTTTACCACCTAAGGAACGTTTCCCGGCTATCTCCGCTTTTTATTCTTAGGCTATTTCTAGAACATTCTGAAATCGAACATTGTTACTTTTTATATCAGTTGGTTCTTATTGATATGTGTATATATATTTTTTATTTTACTCTCTTCTATTTTATGTTATACAGGGCCCCCGTCGATACCAGTCTTGTGACTGAAGGGGTCACCCTGTTTAAATATCAATTATTATTATTATTATTATTATCATTATCATTATACAACTACTTCTGTACCTTTCAATGTGACATTTACAGTCGTCTCAGTTGTACCAACAGTGTTATTAGCCACACATCTGTAGCTAACGTCTCCTTCTTTTAAATCTTTCCTTATCCATGCCCCAGCTGAGCTGTTTCCATTATTAACTGGTATTTCATTCTCAAATAGTTGATAAGTATGCACTGCAGGTTGACCATCTGCTGAGCAGGTGATACTGATGACATCACTTTCACTTACAACTGAGTCATTTACCATTAACTTGACATTCTCTGGTTTATCTAAAGAGACGAAAAAGACTGCAATAAAAATTATGAAGCATAGATGAAATTTATCAGGCTGTACGAAGATAGAACATGCATATACTCTAGTTAACATGATTCTAAGTCATTCAGTCTCCTAAACCCTTTAAATCGTACTTTAAGGATATCGCATGGCCACACCAAAGAACTCAGCATGCAAAAGTGCCTTTAACATGGGACATAAAAATAAAAAGGCTGTCATGACAAAATAATCTTTCAATCTAAGAGATGTTCTAAAATCAAAAGAAAAAAATAGGTAAACCCGGTTACCATGACGACATGGTTATCTTCACACGTGAAGTTTGAAAGGGTACTTCCAACGTGCGTGGATGGGATATTCAGTATATGGACAATGAGAATCTCTAATATTTAATCAAAGACTATCAATCTAGCTCATAACAAAATTAGAACATCCAGTTACAGCTATTTACAGTATATATTCTTATCATACAGCTGGCTGCGCCCATGTGCAATAGAAAGCAGTTTCAGCGTTTTATTGGCTTTCTGAGCGGACCATCTTGCCCGCTTTGATCCCGTGCGGACTCGCAAAGTTTGCAATTTTTCGACAATGTCGGTGATGGAATCGTTAGAGGACAGTCAAAGCAAAGGGAACATAGAAAACTCTCGAAGGTTTATTTTGCTCGTTATTTTGGCTTTTTTATGGGCGTAAACTTCGTCTCAGAAAAAGAACCTGCTAATATCCAGTCACCTCGATCAAAAAAGCTTGGTCATTAATACATACGGGTTCCTGCCATTATATACATTATTAATTGAACTTTAGTTTGTTGTACGCGCTATAAACTATACACCACATGTACTCACAATTAACATTAACTGTAACTGTGCGATTTAATGCAGTTCCTATTGCATTATATGCTGTACAACGATATGTTCCACTATTATTTCTGTTGTTTTCAAGGACAAACTGATTCCCAGTTGCCACTACACCACTGTCAGTTTCATTGGCACGTAATCTGGTCCAGGTGATGTTTGGTATTGGTTCACCATCTGCTGTGCACACTAATGTAACACTGGGGCCGCCTTCAATAACAACTACATCGCCACTAACGTTTAATTCTGGTGGATCTGATAGATAAATGACAAAAAAAACAATTTTGCACACATTTTGCGATGTACTCTAATATGACACCCGGGTCACCTTCAACAGCAACTACATCTCTACTGATTAAATTTAACTCTGGTGGATCTGTTCAAAATAGACAACAATGATAAGTTATCCCACAGTTAATATCGCAAAATTGAACCAATCTGTTCAAAATAGACAACAATGATAAGTTATCTCACAGTTATATCGCAAAATTGAACCAATCTACCCCCCAAAAAAAGATACTAAAATAATAGTCGAAAATTTTACCTACAAGTCAACAATTTTTTACTAATGCACTCCCATGTCGTCTGAATGGGCGCCATCCCGAAATATCTAAACATTCACAATTTCAATTTCTTGATCTTTGCAATTGTACTAATTGCAGGTTAATCGATTATTCGACAGACATTTGTGCTGCTTTAAGATTCTACGTGTACTATATAAAGACAGTGCTCCTGTAAATATTAGGCAAGCAGAAAGAATTCCTTGCATGTACACTCTCTTTTCTGAAATCTGTTTTTGAAGCACGATTGAAATTTAAAAAAAAGAAAGAAAGAAACAGCTTTCTACATGTAAATGCAAGAGTTCAAACATCAACGTTTCTTTCACAATGGTAGTTGTCCCCCGCTGCATATTAATTGTATGGGAGTAAGACTGGAAGCAGTCAATGTGCTTTAACCCTCCATAGACGAAAGGAAGAGGAAGTAAAAAATTTTCAGAGCTCAGAGCTATCGCACAGAATATGGTATATTTATGATATCAAGTGGGTTAGATGGATTGATTCCTATGGTCTAACTGGTTACGATTTAGGACAAGATAGGACTTGAAACTGCCCTTATTATTTAGTTAGTCAATGTGTATTCTACGCGAGTGTTGTGGATTTTTTTCTGATTCCAGGAGAATCCTTGCCGGCAGGTTTCACCACAATGCAGTGGCAAGCTAAATGTCAAAGGTAGTTAAAAACCAGTACAAAACAAAACTTTCAAAGTAGCTAAAAGAAATATGAGACAATTCCGCCCTATGGCTTAACTTACACTGTACTTGAACAGTCACTCTGTCACTAACACGCAGCCGATTACTGTTGATCAATTCAATTTCGTACTCTCCACTCTCCGATCTCTGCAGTGCAAAGATTGTAATTTCTGCTTGGGTAGCATTGATATTTTCTAGAATGCGACCCTGGTAAACACTTTCTGGAACCGCAGCGTCGCGGTTTATGTCATGTTTATCCACAATGGTGAGGGTGGAAGTGCTGCCGATGAACCGAAAGACAACATCATCAAACGATCCATCAAGGTTGTAGTGCCACATCAAGGTGATGTTGTTACCTTCCAGAACATAGAATGGATCTGGAGGACTTGCCGTAAATGTTGGTGCTAATTCTACGAAAAAAAAATGTGGTCAGGGTCAGCTGAAAGTTCTGTGGTAACCTTAACACTTTGTATGGCGCAGCAATTTCAAGTGAGGAGACTTTTCTTCCGAAGGATTTTCGCATATGTGCCTGTCAGTTTCAATGAAAACCACCTTTGCATGTTCAAAAGATAATGCGCTAACATTCTTCAAATGAGATCATTCATGCCAATCAAAAAGCAACGCGTTCACTTCGCAGCCGTTGTTCCTTTCGTCACGCACCTCTCCTGACACTGGTTTCAATCTGCGTTACGTAACCAAAGAAGATTGAAGTTCCTCGCTCTAAGGACCAAATTTGTTGTGATCGACAATCTCTTTGATTCAGATCAGATTTTAATGTTTTTTGTTTTCGTGTTGTCAGGTTCACGTAAAAAATATTTGGCTTCTGAAGAACCCTCAATAAAACACAAAAGGACTACTTTGATTCCGAAACGTAAATTAATCAAGGGACAACGTGTTATGATTGCTTTAGTTGTTTTAATTGTTGTTATATAAGCACGCAGGTCATAAACGAACGAGCATAGAAGAAATCAAGTAACTTTTTTAACGAGCCAACCATCTCACCTTGAAGTTAAGGTTATAATATCTGATACAGCAGTTATGTTTTCGGACGCAAAAGCGACAAAACGTGACATCTAAATCATCTTTCTTCAGATACATTATGATACAGATTTAAAGCCATCAGACCGCTTTGCTTCATCATACCCAACCTTACTATAGCGTACTGAGTTAGGGTTCCAGCCGAGATTAACAAAGACATATAGACTGCTTCATGGAAAGTACACGCGGACGTTATTTACGTACGATTTTACTATTAGAAAAACAACAAAATTGTAATTACTGTTAAAAGAACTTTCCTTGATGTAATCTGTTTATCACATAGGTTCTGAGTTTTCTACATCGAACGTTGCATGCTTCGAATTTCCAGATCTTTCCCTGCATGGTCAAACTCTTTGTCCTACTGCTTACCACAAAACTGTGATCTTTCAAAAAACCGTATCATGCATAAAAAGAGCCCTCGAAGGCTTAATGGTTGAGTAATTCTCGCCATTTCTTTGTTTGACGCTTTTAAAAATAATTTTCCCAGTGTTTTTTTAATTAATCTGGTTTAATTTCTTCAACTTTTCTTGTCTCTTTCGTCTGTTTGAGGAATTCGCCAAGAACTGAGAGGACACTCATCCTAGTCTCATTTCTATATCGTGTGTGACATGATTACGTATACTTTGCATGACTGCACTTTGGAAAGAGAAAGTGAAAATGGGCTGTTGTTTGTGTCAATAACCAACGATGCGAACACCTAAGCGAAAATTAATAACATGGTGAAGGCACTTGATTCTAGTTTTCCTTTTCGCGAGGAAGCTACAGCGAGGTTTTTGATTCTTTATTCGTGGTACGCATACGTTTGTTTGTGACAATCGCTTACTATAATTGCATCTAATTTAATAAAAGCGTTAGCGACTAGTTCAGGAGAGAAATATGCTAATCGATTCTCACTCACTCACTGTGGCGAATATTACATCGGAAGCACGACACGATTCCTACATGATCGAACAAAAGAACACTTGACCAACGACAACTCGTCGGTAAAAAAACATCTCACAACACACCATCGCAACAACAGCCATAACATTGAAGTCAAAGTAATCACGCGTGAAAATGACCCCGTCAATCTACGATTGTACGAAGCGTATTACATCAGAAAGCACAAGCCCGGACTGAACTCCCGTGAGGAATGCACTGAACTTATCGATCTTCTATTTTAATGACATTGTCTCCTTTGTGTGGTGACTCAAATGAAACAGGTTCTTTCAAAATTTCTGTTGGTATGAAATAATTTCCAGTTTTCTCATGGGATATTAAATGTAAGCTGTGAGTACAGAATTCTCATCATTAATAAAACAGAAAGCGACTGTGAAGGAATTGTCTTTCAGGTGAAACGACACCTCACCGCAGATAAGTCAAGAATTTGAGATAGTTTCGATTAGAGGGATCAAGTCACTAGTTCAAATATCTTATGCTCACGCAGCCGGTTCATAAGGAATTTATATTTCAATCGCCGTCGTTTACCTAAACTCGCAAACTAACTCAGCTTGTTTTCATGAGAGTCTCGTTTATTTTGAGCTGTTGAACAATCACACAACATCGGCAGGATATCGCTTCCATGATGACAGATTTCACATTAAAAGTGTGTCTGTGATGAAATCATTTTCGAATGAATATACTGTGTAAGCACGCACCCTTTTCCGCTCTATAAAGGCAATATCTTTCGTCTACCATTCAAATACAACACTTTAAAATCTTCCATTTATGCAAAGTGAAACATTTGTCATTCGAGTCATGCATACTAACACATCTTATTTGTACATTGTGTTCTTACTCTCTCTCTTTCAAATCCATAATAATATTGTCTACGGTAAACATCTCATCTTACCTGCACAAGGGACAAATACTAGGAATGGAAGCAGAGCATTGACGATTACTGCGATCAGTTTCATAATAGTTGCGTTAAGTCCACCAACATGAAAAGTTGTTATATTTAGCTTCTGATTTGGCTTATCGCTATGCATACCAAAATGTCACCTAAAACAAAAGAGAAAAAAAATTCGTTTCCTGTACGACCGTGAAAAGTGGCATTGGTCCTACATTCTGTCTCTTGGGCAGCCTTTCAAAACATTGATAACTCAACACATTCGTAGAGTTTATGGGCCATAATAATAAATAATGAGATAATCATGCCCACACCTTTTGCTGGCCGCTCTACAAGGGTAACGCAGGAAAGTAAATTACACTCTTTGTCCCCATTACAGTTACATATCGAAAGACGCCTACTCAAAAAACATTCCAAAAATTTAAAATGAACACTACTTCTGCTTTTAGTCAAATTTACTCGAGCATCTGTAAAAGCTCTTTTTGTTACACATACAATGGTGCATGCGCATTCCACGCTTTGCTAATCTATTAGCCCACGGTAAAGGCTCAGCGTTGTGTCAGCAGTGCACCGCCAAAGTGTCTAAAACTTACTGGGATATTCAACTACTAGTTCAGTAGTGTTCTTAGCTGCGAGGATCTCTTAATTTTGTTTCTTCACCGCAGTGCAAATATATGAATTTCATATATCTAAAATCATCGTTCATCATTTAGATGGTTTATTTGGACCCAACTTATTAGCTCAGTTGGTAGAGCGCTGCACCGGAATTGCAGAGGTCAGGGGTTCAAATCCCGTACGGGCCTAAATCTTTTTCTGGTCCTATTTTCAATTACTAGTTCTGTAGCGTTCTTAGCTGCGAGGATCTCTTAATTTCGTGTCTGAAACTTATCAGGAATTTTGATAACCAGCGACTAACTGTTGAGTATAATATATACATACATATATATATCGCTTTGTGTGTAGAGGGATAATCAATCTATATCTATTTATAATAAAGTGCGGATATAACGCGCGCTGTCATTGGTTGAAAGAGCGTGCTCTATGAGAGTATAGAGCATAGAACATGAGCTAAAGCTGTCACGCCATCTGCCAATCGTACTATGTTCGACCTTTTCCGGGACTTCTTTTTAGCTTTTTCCCGATAATTGAAAGTGAAATTTCGGAACTGAAGCGAGCCGGCAAGTAGCAACAGAAGAATCAAACAAAGGTTTGTAAACATACCAGGCGCCGTAATTTACGTTATTAAAACGTGAGCAGATACGAAAATCCTCAAAGGAAAAACAAAATAAACATTCCGAGTTTTAAAGATTTTCATGCTCAGTTAGATTGCAAGCTTACGTATGGTAATAAAAATCAAACACGGCTAACACTCGTATAGTATATAAAGTTCAGTGTTCAAAAACAAAACAGAACAAAACAGAAATGATGAAAAATATAACCAAACTGGCATAATTGTTAAAATTCATACTAATCATGACGGTGTCTGAGCGAATATGATCATACCGAAGTTCATCGCGGCTCGCTCATCATGGCGATCTCCGGCCATCACAGTAAAGCAAGCCTCAGAAACTACATCGGCCGCCCTTCGAGTGAAAAAATAAGAGCTTGCTCTGATATCCTTTCCGAGTGGCAATTCACATCAGTCACTGCAGCCGAGTTTTGCGGCGCTGTCATCACGAGCGATCTTCATGTTCCGGTAAATTTGGCTGTCTTTCATTCAAAAAACACTCGCCTTGAGCAGCTTGTTTTCTACCTTGTCATGTGGAAAAAACTCGCGTGCTTTTATGAGCCATAATTCAGCTGAATTTCACTGAACATTTTACTTCGAGATTCTGTATTAGAGACTTAAAAACTTCAGGCAAAAGTATTAAATTCGACTTGCCGAACTATTTTAGTTTGTAAACTATCGTAGAATGTGAACTTTGATGGTTTTTGAACTTTGATAGTTTGACACTTTTGACAGCTTTAGTCTTGTACAGCCAATCAGATTATTTGAACCATTCTAACAAGGATTCTGATTGGCTTATTGTAGCGTGCTTTATGAGAGTATAGAGCATGCTGACGACACTGTTGTTCGCTTTGGAAATAAAGGTTGTCTTGAAAATTGAAAGTAATGCTTGAGTGATTTAACGGGAAGAACCACTCGACTACGTCTCGTGTTTCTCCATACACTTCTTTGGTGCTCTAGCCGCTTCCTAAGTGCTTTATAACAGAAAAGAGCACAGTCAAGGCTTCTCTATTTGTTAAATAGATATAGATCTAGATATAGATACAGATATAGATATAAAGATATAGATTGATTATCCCGCTACACCCAAAGCGCAAAGTTCATCTTTAGGTATACCAATTCTACGCTGCTTGAACATTTTTTCTGGTCTACCGTGCATCTTTTATTAGATCCGATGGCTCTGTTGTCTGGCACACCTGCTTCTCTGCACAACACTTGGCACAAACTGGTTCACTATAAGCACCACAGTAATTTTCTGTTCCGCTGCATCAAGCATAACCGTATTCCTAAAGGTTATTTAATATCTTAAAGGTTATTTAATATCTTAAAGGTTATTTAATATCTTAAAGGTTATTTAATATCTTAAAGGTTATTTAATATCTTAAAGGACATTTCCGCGGCAGCCTTATCTAAGACCAAAGCCCCTCATAGGAAATTACATTCCCAGCGCGATCACCTCTTTCGTGACAATGAGAAAAAATTGCTGAAACCATTTGGAGAGAGGTTAAAGAACAGATGGTAGCACTGGAGATTGCTCTGAAAAATAAAGCGCGTCATAAGTTCTCGCTAGCCACGCTTCTTCACCCACTGCAATTGGATCAAACCATACAACCTAGCAACAAGAGAAGGAGAACGCGGTGTTTTAAAAGAACTGCCCAAAGGAATACAAGAATTCCAACCAGAAACGATGTTAACGACCAGGATGTAACAACTGAGGTCAACTTGCCGGACTTGAATCCTATTAATCTAACCTCCTCTGAACTCACAGATGCGGAGTGTTCTCTCCTTAAGAAAGGACCAGCATTTTTTCCTGAGCCTAAGGACGTTAACTGGCAAAATGTGACAGATGACATGGATACATTTGAAAGGAGAATCCGTCTTGCCGTTTCCTCCACGGAAGAAATGCTGAAGACAACCCACGTACAGCGGATGATTGATTTCCAGCCATTCCATCAGCTTCCCAATAGCTGCCTCCAAAATCCATTTTTCCGGAAGTAGAAGTATTCCTCAACAATGTGAAGAATGACATCTTCAAGCCTGCCAATTTTAGAACTTCCAAAGACAATCTTACGAGAGAAGAAGAGTTAGCTTTAAGGTCTCTTAAATCTAGGTTCTTTGTCCTCAGTCAACAAGAGTACCAAAATAAGATACTAAGGTAGCTTGATAATGATTTGCATTATGATGGCTTACACTCCGACCCAACACTCAACCATTTTGAAGTGGTCAAGGAATGGAGTCGTAAGTGGTTCTCTGAAGGGCAGATTAGCCTAAGGGGTCCCTACTTGTGTCTTGGGATGTAGTCTCAATGTTTCCGAACATCGACAACAATCTAGGTATTTCAGCAGTTAGAAGGGCACTTAATTCCAGATCTGTTAACATTCCTTCCACTGATTACTTAGTTGAAGCTATTGAAATTTGCCTCAGGGTAAATAATTGCCAGTTTTCTGGTCAGAATTTCGGTGTAAAAACTACAAATTAAGAGGCTGTCTCTCTTATTTCCACCCGGTCAATTTTGCGTCAAAAATAATTTTGCCTGAAACTCTGTCAACAGAAAGACTTTACCTAGGAAAGAACTAAATTAGATTTGGTTTGATTCGAAATAATTTTCTGACTGCATTAGGGGCCATAATTATTTCCCAGTCCGTAGGGACCGTCGCAACGTCTCGAAAATTGAAAAATAGGCATATTTTGTAACATTGTAAAATATTTGATTCGCATAGTTAAGCCACAAAATTTATATCAGATTGCTTAAAAACCTTTCTAGTTTGCCAAGAAAGTTAGAATTTGCCCTCTCAATATATTTGAAAAGGCGAATTTTAGCATATTCTGACCACTAGAAATCGCCATCGGCCGATGGCCGTAAATAACCTTGATTTTAGACGTTAAGTTTTGGGATTTGGGACCTGGTTGACGATTCTATCCTACACAGCCGTTAAGTTTAGACCTTTATAGGCAAAAATATGCAAAGACCCCTGTACGTTTTCGATTTTTCAAAAGTTATGACCGTTTGAATCAGCACATGTACGAGCATTCGCGATTTTTTCGCCTACACCAAAATCGAACCACTGGAGCAGATTTCGTCATAAATACAGCTTACCCGCTTTGCAGCCCGGCTTCATGGCTCACTTTAGAATTTTTCTAATAACCAAATTGGTGAAATCCATGATAACTTTAACAAATAGCTAGGTATTGCCTTCGAAAAGTAGGCGGCATCCATCGTGATTCGTGGTATCAAAACAAATGTCGGAATTGGCCATATTTCGCGGTGAATCACCCATTTAACATCGCTGCAGAGCTGAATTTTTTCCAAAATCAGTATATAATCTCTCCATGTCTGGAAGCTGAGGGAGAAATGAAGGTTTTAGGCTTCTGAAGTGAAGAAATAATCGCTTAAATTTAGATCCAGTTCGATGTTATACTGTTCTCACAAAGGTCCGCACAAAAGAGAAGACCGCTGATAGCTTGTGCCTTACGTTGTGCCGTATGGTTTTGTTTTGTATCCCAATGTAATATTTGGGGAGGAAAAATTTTGGATGAAAAGAATAAATGCTTTTATCTGGAGTTTGATATAATATAATTAATAAATCAACTTCAAATATCCTGAGCTTGCTTCTCTCGGTTCCGCGTCGATTGTGTCCACAGAAAAGCAACATGTCAATAGCCGGAGAAATCATAGGTTAATGTGAAATTTCAGATATTCCTCGCTCCCCAAACTGGTGAAATTTATGACAACTCTAGCAAATACCTCCAAAATTCAGCGGTCGGCATCTATCGATACTCTTATTTGACTCGTTGTTGCGAACTAAACTCGAAAACTAAAGCCATGTTTCCTGCTTAATGTCCCGTTGAAACTTTGGATTGCAGCTGCATT